CAAAATCTTCCTCAGTGCTGGTTGTGCCTGCCTGGTGAACCCTTAGAGACTTGCATAAGGTCTTCTCTTATAGGCTAGAGATACTCAGGAGATGGCCCCATAGAAGTCTCTGAGGGGTTTTCATGCATGCCAGCCATTGGTGAGAAAGATTTTTAGCCAAAAGGTGGCCGGCTGCAGGTGCGATACTCAGATAGGTAAGTATCTGGGGGGAGTTCTTTGAAGTAACTTTTTACTGGAGTTTAGGGCATGTGTCAACGGGGTTTTGCTCACTCCAAACAGTTGCACACAAGTCTATGAGAATGCAAAACGCACTTTGAGCAGTTGAAATTCAGGTTTAGAAAGGAGGTAAACTGCAGGTCAGATGCTCCTGTCAATAAATTCTGAGCAATCTCAGAAGCATCTCAACTGATGTCAAATTGATGCCATCAACACAAGCCCAAAGTCCTTCCACACAGGCCCTTAACCACCCTAAACCTAGTTAATACCCAACGTTTCACCTAAACCCTTCTGCTGATACTTACCTTAGTGTGCTGAAACCTACCTAAGACCTGGCCCTAATTAATAACAGTCTAGCTATGTGTAAAGCCAATTTACAAAACAGCCAAATTTGTGGTGCCAAAAATGTATAGTCCCAGATTTTTCTGCCGGGGTTATCCAATGTTCTATGGTGCTATTTAGACAGCAAAAAATGTATACGGACATCATAGAGCCAGTACGATCGAAGACACAAATGTTTTTACAAGCAAGTTGCAAATAAGCATGGAACACTGCTGTAACTTGATCCAAGGCTGCAACTACATTTCTTATAAGCATAAGGTGTGTTGTGCCCCAGCAACACTAAAATAACTACAAAGGGTGTTCACATAAGCATTTTAGCGACAAAGGGACACAAAGGTGGTGTGTGCCCGAATCTGGCTGGTGTACTGCCTGGCAGTACACCAGGTAGCTTTACATTCCCAGGTTCTCCTTCTGCTCCCCAGGGCTGCATGCTTTTTAGTTAGCCTTCAATTCTCACGGCCCCCATCCGAGAGCGCTGTTTATGTCTTTTTGACATAAGCATTTTAGGGCATTGTCCATAAGACTTACACAGTACATAGCCAAAAAGAAAAACAATGTAATAAGAGTGCTGGGGTATGTTCCTGGCACTCGTTAGATTGGATAAGCTACAAAAAGAACTCCAGGATGTATTTAAATTAACCATTGCAGTGGGGCTACCCCCCACTGCAAGGGTCAAGTGCTGATTTTAGCCTTGGAGTGAAAATAAAGAAAATAAACTCACCAGATCCTCCATCCTGCAGCAGTAACTGTCCGTCGAAGTCCTTGTGTCTAATGGACCTGCTTTAGATGTGATCACGTCGTGGGTCCCCGGACCTCCAGAGCCCGGAGGAGAAGAGGCTGTGGGGACCAGGCCAAAAACAACCAGGCGCAACCAAGGAACAGGGGAGTATATTGTCTTTATTTTTTGTCCCTAGACCAAAATGAGCACTTAACCCTTGCAGTGCGGGGTAGCCCCACTGCAAGGGTTAATTTGAAAACATCCTGGAGTTCTTATTTAAAGGGCAACAAATTCACTGCACCTTGGCTGAAACTGAATATTTATAACACACATACACATCAATTCACATCATTAGTTATATGCTATCATATTTAGATACACAACTTCTCACACAGCTTTAAAATACTCACACAAGCACAGATGTTGCAATAATAATTATAGCATGTTATCGCGCTTGATCAATGAACCGATGAAGAAGGAATGAACTTGATCAATGAAGTGGGAAAACTCACATAAGGATCTTCCACATGAAAGCCATCTGCCATGAAAGAAACATCTAGGTTGCCAATACTGGGCCCCCATTCTAAAAATGTTACATTCCTGGATGTTGTTTCAATTCTTAGAGACACTAACCTGGAACATGGATGTAGATCAAGACTTCTGATTTGTTACCGACTTTTTAGGGCTCTATTTGCACTTCTGCACCCTTGGCTAACTGTGTGTTTTTCCCCACTTCCTATTCCAATTGACTGGCTAGCCTTAGGCCCCTTTTTGACAGGCACTTTTAGTTTCGATCTGCAGGGGATCTATGCATGGATTCCCTGCTGATCAGAACAGATGTCACCATTGTGACATCCTTGTCCATGCAGTTTTTTCCTCCATCTTGTGATGCAGGAAAAACTGAAATTACTGGACCCATGTAGGTCTATGGGGAATCAGATGTAAACAGACATGTGTCCAGTTACATCAGATTACTTCTGATCTGTCACGGTCAGGTCCATTGACACGGAGCTCTGCTGGGTTTGTTTTGCCGGACCTGGCCGGAGCCGACCAGATTTAAACAGACACATGTTTAGATTTGGCTGCCCATAGAATAAAAATGGCTCCCGACCAGGTCCACCTGAAAAACCCACAGGTGGACATGATCAGAATGCCCTTGTGAAAGGGGCCTTAGTATTAAGCTGGCCATACACCTTACAACCATCGCACAACTTTAGTTCTGTGATGGTTGTAAGGTCATTAAAATTTCGTATGACCTGCCAATCCTGGACAGGCAGATCGTACTTGCGATCATCACAAGTCCTCCCCGCTGAGGGTTTGCTAGAGAAAGCACAGAATAACATTTAAACATCGATGATAGGGGTAGTGATAGGGGTTTACTTATAGAAGTTCTGCCTGCTGTACCTCAGAATGGATGCCATTTACATGGCACTAGCGCCCTTAGATGCAGCTGACGGGTATAGGAATTTCCTATACTCATCAACACCATCTAGCAAGTGCCAAGCAAATGGCATCTACCCAGCCTATAAAGGAACCCCATAGCATTATTACATACAAAAGTAGAAGGCAATTCTTTATAGGTCTTTGTAGGTGGGTGACTCCGGCCCTCCAGCTGTTGTGGAACTACAAGTCCCATGAGGCATTGCAAGACTGACAGTTACAGGCATGACTTCCAGAGGCAGAAGGATTATGGGATTTGCTGGAGTTGCCAATGCCTGTTTTATAGCATGTGCGTTGTAATGGTTTGATAGAAAAATTACCAATTTCGCCAAAATGTCACCAAAAATCATCTACTGTTGATGATGCTAATGAGAACAGGTCAAGGATAGCTGAAAACGTCTGTAATCGTCAGGAGCCACTTGTCCATTACACCTTAGAAACCACCAACAACCACCTTCATTCTGCCTTTCTCATTGACTCCAATGCCTTTTAACAAAATAGCAAAATGTTGGCAAAATCTCTCATTTTTTGCAGACATTTTAGAAAATCAAAACTCTCAATTTCACTTATCTGTGTATCACTCAGCTGTAGATCCTCAAATCATCTCTGAATTGGTACTGGCACTGTCCTTCCTTCTGGAGGGTGGCTACTTTTATTCCCCATGGTCCCTATGTGTGTGTTGTAAATAAGTCACCACTCCAAGATTACTCCCATGATGGACTACAATCTCATGTTTAGTTTACCAATTTGTATTGAGATTGTAGTCCATAACAGGAATGAGCTTGGAGCGGTGGCTACTTTACAACACACACAAGAACCATGGGGAACAAAAGTAGTCACCCTCTAGAAGGAAGGACAGTGTCATCACCACTTCAGAGATTATTTGAGGATCTACAGCCGAGTAATACACAAATGAGATACATTTTTGTAAATTTTGGGGATTTTTTAAATTAACCCGCACTGCAAGGATTAAATGCTCGTTTTGGTCTGGGGAGCAAAATAACAACGTTACACTACCAAACCCTTGGATCCAGCTTGTTCTTAGACTGATCCCTGGAAAACATACCAGCACTTCAACAGAAGAGGACATAGGCAGTAGGGAGCGCTGTGACAGCCAGCTCCAAGGGTCAGGTGAGTTTATCTTTATTTTCCACCCTAGACCAAAATGAGCATGTAACCCTTGCAGTGTGGGGGTAGCTGCACTGCATGGGTTAAAGTGACACTAGACTCAGGAGTTAAACCTTAAGGGCCGGTTCACACCATACCCAGTGCGTTCCGGCATGGTTAGTGCCCAAAACGCACTGTATCGCATAATTAAAGCCTCCCACGTTCTGTGGCGGGAGGGGGCACGGTGGACAAGCCTCCTGCCTGCAGTGCAATCGCCCACACCAGAACGTGTGGTACAGCAATGCCTGTGTTCCAGTGCGGTGCTATCGCAAAAAATAGTGCATGCCTGAACGCACTGGATATAGTGCACACTGGAACCAGCCCTAAAATAGCATTAAAGATCGTTGGAGTGGTGGCTACTTCCCAACACACAGGGACCAGGGGCAACACAAGTAGTCACCCTCCAGAAGGAAAGACCAGCACCACTTCAGAGATGATTTGAAGATCTATAGCTGAGTGATACATAAATAAGATACATTTTTGTTAATAGGTAAGGGACTTAAATGCATTTTTAAGATTTAACTCCTGAGTTTAGTGTCTCTTTAAGCCAGCGCACAGGCAAAGACGTGCGTTTTGCCTGCTGTGTTTGGATTGCCATTAACAAATAACGGCGACGCAAGCGCATTTTCCCACATCGCATGAACGTGCCCCCAACGCGTACACTTTGGCGTTCATGGACTTCTGCATAAACGCAGGCTTGACCCTGCCAGTGTGAATGGTGTGAGAGATGGGTGGGTACAAAGTAGCAGGCATTCCATAGGCAGCCAGCCAGCACAGCAGACGTTTAACATGCACAGCACCACCTAGATGCCAGCAGGGACAGGCACGGAGTGTGCACGACTGCGGCGACGCGGGGATGCCGTGTTCCATGTAAGCCCGGTGTTCTCAGCCACACACCAGTGACCCGGTCCCGGAGCAAGCAGCCTTCAGTCTGGGGAAGAGTGGGAGCGGCGCAGTGCGCACACACAACGCTGCACCCCGGCTGGAGGGAGCTTTACTGTCATCTACAAGGAGCACTTCTTCATCCGGCAGCCAAGCCCGCAGGAGTAGACTGCAACCCACCATCCAGGCAGCTGCAGCCACCTCATCCCTGCCATACAGTCTCTGGCAGCATCCTGTCCTCGCTGCCCTCCAGCTAAACTGGCATACAGGTACCATTTTACCATGCTCCTCTTGTCTTGGGAAGGGTGTGGACTGAGCATCATACCTCTATTCCCCAGGGGGGATGTAATGCGGGTGCTTCTTGGACCAGGAGTTTGGAAGCACTACAGGGTATGAGTAGCATGTAACAGGAAATTCTGCTTTGCTGTACTACAGCTGAGCTTTCACATCTGTGTTGATGCATGCTTATAGTATTGCTGCATGGAGGTCAGCCAGCAATGTCCTAGTTTTTAAGTTACTTTCATTGTGGCAGCATGTTCATGTTGGCAGTGGAATTATTTGGTGCACTTGGATAGGAAAGGGCTCATATTAATAAAACAGGGAGAAAGAAGGATAAAACGTAACAGATACAAGACTGATTCTAGTTATTTTAAATGTTCAGAATATTCTCTGTCTTAGAATGGCTTTGTTTATTGATCCAGTAAAGTCTTGGGGAAAAAAATACTTGCATTGTCCGTGTATCATCAATCCATCCGTCTTTAATGTCACTGGACAAGCAGTTGTGAATGGAATCCATATCAGTACAATAGACAGTTATCAATAGCTGGTGTCTGGAATGCATGAAGTGTATCACCATTGGCAGATAAATGGTAGGGGAAGATAGTAGATGGATGGATGGCTATAGTGAAACATTTTCAGAGTCTGTTTTACATGCATGAAAATAGTAAAGGAATATTAGTGCATTATATTTAGCTAGATTGAAATTCGAATTACATAAAAAGCTAATTGGGCTTCAATATTGTAGGTTTATAACTAATTGTTGTAGCACAGCCTTTGGTGGTCAGCGTGAAGAGTCATTGAGGCACCTACTGATGGCGTATTGTTGATTGAATAAAATGACCGTATGATGTAGACGGTGCACGTGCCATATTCTCATTTTCCTTCACAGATGACTCATTTATGAACAGATGTAATTTTTGGATGCCCTCCCCTGAAGTACTTTATTAGTTTACAAAACAAGGCTCTCACCTTAATAAGCATCTGTTGTCGAGGGCATCTGTTTTCCTTTATTAAGCATAATCACAGATGACAGCAATGTGCAAATATTTTAATTTTTTTTACCTGACCAGCTCACAACATCAAGAAGAAAAATGAAACATATTGAAAGGCACTGACATGTTTCCCATGAGGAGAGCATCTCCTCATATTGGGTGGTAGACTCTGGGAGGAGAGCACCCCCTCATATTGGGTGGTAGACTCTGGGAGGAGAGCACCACATATTGGTGGAAGACTCTCGGAGGATAGCACATCATAGTGGGTGGTAGACTCTCTTAGGAGAGTACCACATATTGGCTGGTAGACTCTTTGAGGTGAGCACCTCATATTGTGTGCTAGACTCTTGGGGAACAGCTCATGTTGGGTACTAGACTCTCAGAGGACAGCACCTCATATTGGGTGGTAGACTCTCAGAGGAGAGTACCTCATATTGACTGGAAGACTCTTGGAGGTGAGCACCTCATTTGTGTGCTAGACTCTCTGAGAGCACCTCTTGTTGGGTACTAGACTCTCGAAGGAGAGCACCTCATATTGAGTGGTAGAATTGTCTGGCCGTGGTGTGTTACATTGTAGTGTTCATACCTTACCTGTCTCTGCTGTACAATATATACAGTATGGGAGGATGTGCTGAGAGGGCATTGCTTGGGTAATTATCTTTCTTTATCTCGGTTGCGCAGTAAGACGACAATGGCATAAATATGCGTACTTGTAAGCAAGGGGAGGAAATAAATAAGTACATTTTCGAGCAATATTTTAAAAAGCCAGTAAAAACACGTATCCACTGACTCCAAGCAAGGCTTACAGTAGTTCTAAACCCAATCCTTAAAATGTTATATACTGGACTGTTTAATATGATTGTGTAATTAATCTGCAGTTTTAATTAAAATAATAACTGTTGATCCTGCCATGTAGGTCCTTGTTAAGGCACTTCTTGATATAGGGTGACAACTCTTTCCCAATTGTGCTCCTGCTACAAGTGGACGTGCCGGCACACAATGCGCAGGCATTGTCCGCCATTGTCACTATCGGGGGAAAACTGCGTTTAAAAAAATATTGTTTCCCAGTATTTTTACAAAATAAAGCTGGCCATAGACCAGAAAAATTTCATTTGAGAATTTTCATTTTTGAAACGTTCGTTTACCTTTCTAATGGTTAGTCTGGCCTAGTCAATGTTCATTTTTGACAGTAATGACAAATGACCGAATGTAATTCTAACCGTGAAAGTAAAAAAAGAAATCACATATATTGGAATGCACTTGTATTAGGCACAAAAGAAACCTCTTTAATACATCTGGGATTCCATTCAAGTAGCAGGCCTGCATGAAACTTTAAGGGCTTTTGAACGAAATTATTTGACTCAATGGTGGCAAGATCAAGTGTTCAGATGAACCATTTTGAAAAAACCTTTAACAGTGCATGGCCAGCATAAATGTCATCCAGTTAGGGTTTAGATCTACGTTAAAAGATAGGCACGGTTATTTCATATAGCTTGTCTGACTGACTCAATAAATATGTCTAGATCTGTTGCAAGTTTGTCACCATTGAATGAGTCAAGGTGATTATCCTGATTACCAGGGTATTTCCTAACAATTTGCCTCTTCTTGTGTTGCTCATATTGTGTTGTAGTGAACAGTATCAATAACCTTTAATCAATTTCTCTTTAGCTGCCTCCAAGAACACATCTGTGACAAAACATGGGTCACCTTACTTTATGTTTTTCAGGATTTTTGGACTTTTTTATGGCTTTTCAGCTACTTAAATGTTTTCAAAAATGTCAAGGGACTTAATTTTCAAGTAGCCTGTTCGTGCTCCCAAACGGTTTCCTGTCTCTCACTACATTAGGACTTTGTAATTAAAGCAGATCTTGCATGAAACAGATTACATTCTAACTACATAATTTGCTTTGCACACTCACTCGGCTATCTAAAGTAATTCTATGTGTTTAAAAAAATATATCCTATATAACGTGCTGGTGCAGAAAGTCTGGGCCAACCACCTTCATGATGATGATCTCAATTCCACATGGCCAACTGATGCATCTTGTTGAGCTAAACATAAGGGATGACTATTAGGTCAAAGTCATTTGGTCATTTGGTATGGCCGTGTGACCATATAAGGCCAATAATGATGTCACCAGCATTCTGCCCTTTTGTTTACATGCAGCTGCGGGGCGGGGAATATGTTGGCCGCAGCTGATTAAGCCGGTACTGACAAATTCGGTCTGAACCTGGGCTCATCCTTATTGCTTATTTGGCCTTTTCCCCAGCATAGGGCGCACAACTCTCTGTGCGTATAAAGTCTGATGAGATTTTCAGGTAAAGTGAGGAGTAAAATGAAACCAGGAAACAATTTCACTCTATGCTGTCTGAGGCTGCACAAATATGGCAGCACTAGAATATACTCCTACATGGGTTATACCAAAGGTATATGGCACTAGCAACTTAAGTATGTAATTACTTTTAGTTTTATCGGGATATCATTTATAAATAATTTGTCTTCTAAAATAACCTTTTTTGTAAAAGAAAATGGAAATTTTCAGTTGGGAGTCTGAACTTTGTCTACTGATGCAATATGTTTCCCTAATCAGTTTCTTGGCAGTCTGTAAAGATATAGCCACTATTCTTTTTCCTCTCTTTCCCTGGCCAGACCTAGTACGCACTGTCAGAGAATTTTTTCACACCTTCCAATTTCTGAAGTAGGTCAGGAAGGAAGGACTTCAAATAAGACTACTCCTCCCTCTATTATTCTCTTCCCACACAGCTCCCCTTAAAGTAGAGCTGTAGCCGGACTGTGGACATTCATTTTTAAATATTCATAACGAGCAGTAAATAGATTTTACCACTTCAGTCCTGCAAATACATTATACAAAAAAATACTTTGCTGTAATGAAAGACAATCAAAGCTGAACTCCATGCAACCAACCTAATACACATGAAATGCATATATAGGAGCAGCTTTACCTACCAAATGTTTTGTATTTCTGTCCATCCAGTCCCGAGATCTACACATGTCTGCCAAACAGCACAGCTCGGCCTGGCAGGGTATAAAACCTGATTCTTTTCTCTGCTGCTATTAAAGGGGATCTATGGTGAAAAACTAAAAATAAATGTATTTATATTGAATTTCTGATCTTAATAACCATATCAATTTAGAAGTTTGTAAACTTTTTGAAGATGCCTGTAGGATGTACGTCCTCAATACAGTGACTTAGTTTCACCCAGCCTTGTGAAAATTCCTTGTCTCCCAACTGTCACAGAGCCTGCTTTCTCCATGTCTGAACAATGTTTTGCTATTACTGCTTGCTGGAAGCAATGCATTATGGGCTGTCTAGTACTGAGAAATCGAGATTGTATCACAACAAGCAGCAGGGAAAGAGGTGCAAAGCACACTGGGAATCCAGGAAGTTGGTGAAAGTGATGGGCAGACAAAAGGCAGCACACTACATAAAAGGGATTTTTTTTCAAGTAAGCTTTGATTGTATTATCAAAAATAAGTCTATGTATTCCTAATACAATGCTGATGTTATAACAGGATAGTATATGCTGGAATTTTACAACTCCTTTAAGTAACACATACAGATCTTGACCCTCCCTCTGCTTGTGCCTGGACAGTGAAAGGAGAAGCAACAGAGGGATGTGCTCATCTCTCTGCCTATCTGCTCTTTCCTCATATCAGCATGTTCCTTAATACCACATGAGCACTGCAGCACAACTTATTGGCTCCATGTGCTATTTCTTTACTGATCTTAGCTTTGCTGTAGAGGGGATTGCAAAAGCCTGATACCTGGTTAAATTTAGTTACTAACACTGTTTGTAATAAAAAATATATATATATAATAGTGTATAAATAAATACAGAGCCACTTTACTTTGCGTTTATATATGCCTTCCGTTTAGCTTGACGTTGAAAAACAATGTTGTGTTTTCATATGCACTTACCATACAGAAGTATCCATGGCAGACATGATTGTAGCCATCATTCTAAAGACTTCATTA